GGTGGACTTCCACTCCCAGAATTCCCCATCTACATGCTTTAAAATAGGTGGACTTCAACGTCCAGAATTCCCTGGCAAGCATACATTAAGATGGGTGGACTTCAACTCCCAGAAGTCCCACGCCAGCACACTTTAAAGACGTCTGCACCAAGCAGGCCAGCTGGGGAATTCTGGGCGTTGAAGTCCACCCCCTCTTAACGTTGGCCAGTTTGACACAGACTCTTCTAGGGGCTGCAGTCCTCTTTGACTTTCTCGGCGAGAGATTTCATCTCACGCCTGACGTTTCCTCCCCAGTCCTTGTAGTACGATATGGCGGGATGTGGAGGCATTTTTTATTTATTTTTTTAAACGTGGGATGAAATAAAGTCTTGTTTAATCAGAAAACCGCTTTGAGAGGGCTGTAAAGCACTGTAAAGTGGTATATAAGCCTAAGCGCTACTGCTACGGCTATGGATTGGCAGGCTTGCGCCAGATCCTGGCTAGAAAGAAGAGCAAAGTTGGTTCCTTCACCTGTACAGTTCTTCTTTCCTCTTCCGTTCCAGTTCATCCTGCATCTGGTTGGCCTTCTGCCTCTCGACCTCCATCAGGTGGTCTACTCTCATCTCCTCCCCACTCATCTCCTTGTCGATCTGCTTCTTCTCCAGGATTTGAGCATCCCGGATGGCGTGGCACTTGGCTTCGAGGATAATCTGCCCAAGAGAGACGGTAGGCCCTTAACTTACAAACGGTTCGCTTAGTGACCAAAGTTACAGTGGCACCGAAAAAAAGGGACTTTCCCCCCCCAGCTTTGCAGCATCCCCACGGATGTGTGATCAAAATTCAGACGTTGGACTGGATGACCTCACAAGGCCCCTTCCTCCTGCCCACCTCGCCGAGCGTTTTGATCTCGTCTTCCTGCTCCATCCGGAGGTTGTTCGCCCGGTCTAAGAGGTACTGAGCTCGTTTCTTGGCCTCCTCTTCCAGGTCGTTGAGCTTCTCGTTTTTCTTCCGTAGGATCTCCTTCAGCTTCATGGATTTCTTCCGCTCGTTCACGGCCACCTGTGGGCGAGGAGACGAGGAAGCTGTTTGGGTGAGCCCCCTCGACTTGGGGTTCGCAGCCTGGAACTCATACCGGGAAAAACGCCTCCGCTTTCCTTTTGGGCGGGTGGACCTGCCCTGTTTCAAGGAAATCCTTCTTGCCAGGATCATAATCGACAAGATCGACAATGAAGTCAGACTGAGAGCAAGTTAAATGATGCACCAAAATTGATTAGAGGGAAAAAAAGAACTGGGAAAATTATGTTTCTTCATCATTGGCACCTACCTTATCTTGGAAGACAAAACTCAACCAAAACTCGCCCAAAAGAGGGGCTTTGAGAGGGATCTATCTATCTATCTATCTATCTATCTATCTATCTATCTATCTATCTATCTCCTAGATCCCTCTCCTTTGAGAGGGATGGACCCATCTATTTACCTCCTCATCTGTCCTTTAATCTATCTCTTAATCTATGTCTATTTATCCATCTCTATCTGTCCGATAGAGATGGATAGAGATAGATTAAGAGATAGTTTAAAAGATAGATGAGGAGATAGGTAGATGATAGATATAAATGGATAAATAGAAATAGATTAAGAGATAAATAGATGAGGGATATAGAGATAAAGAGGTAAAGAGGTACATAGATTAATAGATGAGGACATAGATGGATAAATGTAGATGGATAGGCAGACATACAAGAGAGAAATGGATAGAGATATTAGGTAGGTAGGTAGGTGGGTAAATAGATGATAGGCAATAGATAGACAATAGATAAATAGGTAGGTAGGTAGGTAGGTATAGAAAGAAAGAAAGAAAGAAAGAAAGAAAGAAAGAAAGAAAGAAAGAAAGAAAGAAAGAAAGAAAGAAAGAAAGATAGATAGATAGGCAGGCAGGCAGGCAGGCAGGCAGGCAGGCAGGCAGGCAGGCAGAGACATAGAGAGACAGATGTAGAAGTAAAGAAAAAAGAAGAAGAAAAGAAGGGAACACAATTCAACAAATCTAATTTAGATGGGACGTATTTGAAGCTCAACCAGGAATATCGGCCAATGTGAAATATTATTCATCTGCCAAATTACTGCTTATTGGTGGCAGGACACCATACTTTAGTTTACTTTAATTGCCTCCCCATTTAAAAACACGATAATCACCACCTTCTTTCTTATTTAACTTGCCGTCAAAGTTGTTTCCACTTCACTACAGTCTGGAATAAACAAACATTTATACCAACGCTACAATGAGTGATGATTGAGCGCGGAGGAATGCGGCGGAGAGCAACATCAAGCCGCTTGGGAATAACCTGCCAATTAGCTTCCTGACAGCTCAGAGAAGGTTTTGAAAATGGGAAACGGGAGAGGCCCAAAACAGGCTTTGTTCCTTGGTGAAAGAAAGAAAGAAAGAAAGAAAGAAAGAAAGAAAGAAAGAAAGAAAGAAAGAAAGAAAGAAAGAAAGAAAGAAAGAA